ACCCATACCGACTGCTGCATGTATCTCAGTTCAAAATAGAAAAGTGTTAAATCTGCGATAAACGCTCCGAGCTGCCTATGTTTATGCTTAGCAACGAGAAACATAAACGCCAATATTTTATATTTGTAATGAAACATTTATCGTTTTTAAACTGTTAAAAGATAGATCTTTATTGTTGAATAATTAGGTACACGAAAACCCTCATCCGGTATTTTGATAATCACAAATCCTGTCAGTATCCTTAAAGCCGTATTTCCTTTCTGGTTTTTATATTTTATTGTGACCCTTCTTTAAGAAATTTACGATAATCAACAGGGATTTTAATGTATTCGTTTTGTCCATCGTTTCAGCGGCTCCAGTAATTAAGACTTTAGAACCCATGGAGTACATAATGTGGTGTATAAAGTACGTAGTTATTGGATACCCGTTACCAAGGATACGGTGGTATCGAGAGGGAGAGCGCGTAAAAAACAAGGAATTTGTCTTTGATAGTCACAATGAAGGGATCGACAAAAATGGCCACGACACCATACACGGGTGCTTAAATTTCAAAATTCCTTCACACAAACAGAATGGACAGTATACCTTGGTGGTGGAAAATGATTACGGCAGGGACACGAAAAGTGTGTACGCGGGTTTGGTCAATAATCGTCCGGGTAAGTGCTGGTATTTGACAGAGATCTATTTCATCTTTAAAGAGCGCCATTTTTAAACAGATTATACTTGAGCTTGAAAAGTTGAGAAAGAGCATTTAATCCCTATTGCGTAGGCTTATATCATATGAAAAAAATAATGAAAAAAAACTTAGGCCTGTGTCATATGAAAAAAAATAATGGAAAAAAAAACTGCATTTAAAAAGTAAGGTAAAAAGAATCTTAAATGGCGTGTCCTCTTTTCCCCTTTGCCTTTCCAACAGCAAGCGGTCTGGGCCATCCAACCATTCGTCCAACCAGCCCGATCAATGGAACAATCGACCTCGAGAACAACCCGCCATGGCACGTCCGGCAGTCTATCCTACCCACCAGGCCATCTGGCATATCAGGCCTAGAACCCACCGTACGCGGCGACACCATCAACTCTACAGCAGGGACGTCAGTGCTACAGCCAGATCTTGCCTATGTACACACAGATCGGGTACCGGTAATTTCTGTTCGTTAAGAATTGTGAAAAATTGTTTTCTATTTAATTTAAATAATGGTGTTTTTTTTTACGTCATACCTTGCCTTACCGCTATCAAATTTCATGACATGGATATGAAAAAAAAGGGATATTTCCGTAACAAACGTAAAATATGTCCACCTTAAGTAGGGCCTATCACTATGGATGGTTAATTAATTAATTCCAGATATCAGTCACTATTGGGGCGGTATGCGTGGGTGTGGTCCTATTTTTGTTAGGCTTGGTTTGGGCCGTACGGAAGGCCAACATGAAGTGCACCAATATGGAGATGAACGAATCTCAGCTAAGTTCCACTGGGTCCCGTCACCCCCTGACTCGGTATTACTACGAGGAGACTGGCGCCCAAAAGATTACGTCACAGGAGCTGCTGCCATTTAACAGTCTCCATGTTGTGGAGAATCCTAATTACACAAGAAAGGCTAATTTGCGAAGCAAGTCGGAAGGTAAAAGGACTTTTGCAGTTAGATGGCTATATATGTAGATGTTGACTTCTTTTGTTTACTGAAGAGCTTGCAATCTAATATAATAAACAAAAGAATCTTGTGGAACAAGTTCTTCAGTAAACAATTAGTCAACATCTAGTCATCTAGCTTGCAGTGGGTAATTAAACAAGTGTTTACGATTGTAATGTCACATAGAGTTTGTGTATTTTCCGTTCTAATTAAAGTGATACATGTACTTTGCCCTCTTAAAACCGACCGGTTAGAGGCCCCACCAACACCAATTATATAGGGTTATTTGAGTTAGATGACTGGTAGCCAATTTAATCATTGGTTGAGAATGAAGCCATTCAGAGTAGAAGATTCGAGGATCTTCTGATCCACGGATCAAATATGGCGGAGCCTACATGAAAGAAGACCTGACTAATCCGCTGATGGTCTCCCCGCCTCCACACGCGCCACTGAACGGATTAAATCACAGCTCAGAGGTTTAATTGTTAGACCCCCGCAAGGCCGGCGTGTATGGAGGCTGGGAGACCGTCAGCGGATTAGTCGGCTTTGCTTTCATGCATGTAGGGTCCGCCATATTTGATCCGTGGGTCTGTAGATCCTAGGATCTTCTATTTTGAATGGCCACAATATTACCGTCTGTGTGGGTAAAATCACAAAAGGACCTCTCCTCAAAAGAAGTCCTTGGTAACATGAAAGACAACCAAATGTGGAAATATGTAGTAATCCTCTAAGAAAAAAGATCTTGTAGGAAAAATTCGAAAAAATTCGGGTTTAAAGGCATACAATTCGCGTTACACCTTAATATGGACCATTACATATTTGACTTGAATGAGGAACCTCAAATAATAAGCTTACTTGTCAAAAGGGAGAACTATTTCGTCTGCCACAAATGGCCAATATCAGTATTGTTCCCTTTTTAATGTCGGGCTGGAATTGCCCAAATATTGCCTTAATTTGTGCATTTGTTGACTTCAACCGTTTTGAAAGAGTCCTCTTGTTTTCCAAAGTGCTCAAAACCAACATCAAAGGCAAACTGTAGGAAACCGTCAAGACAAAGGATTTGTTGCATAAATTTAGGCAATGGAAAATTGATTGATTGTTTTCCGTTAACCTTAGTGTCAGACATGCTGATAGCGGCAGTGCGTGTGTGATCTCTTTATCTGTGAACGATTTATAACTGTAGAAACATGGGAACCGTGCATATGCCAACAGCCGAACTTTTGTTGATGATATTACTGAAATAAATGACTCACAATCAGTACTTGTACCTCTTACTGTAAACGTTTGCTGCAACTAAAAATACTGGATGTACATGTAACAGTAGGAAAAAATAATGTGGCACAATGTAGTTTCATGAATGGTAATACGCAACCGGAGAAATAGATAAAATTATATATATATATTATGTACCTCTTGTTATACATCGCTTGTTGTGTCTTTTAGATTTATTCACTATATTTGGGAAATATATTCCATTTTCAGACATACGTCACATTGCTCGAGACAAAATTTCTTACGTCCGTGACTTGGGGGAAGGAGCGTTTGGTTGGGTATTCCTTGGGGTTTGGGAGGAGGACGAGGAGCCCATGATGGTCGCGGTAAAAACATTGAAAGAGTCCGCCATCGATGACGCAAGGCGGAACTTTGAACGTGAAGCAGAATTGCTCACGAACTTGTATCATGAAAATATCGTGACGTTCTACGGCGTGTGTACCCAGGGTGAGCCGCTATTGATGGTGTTTGAATACATGGAAAACGGGGATCTTAATAATTACCTCAGGTAAGATACAGTCCAGGGTTCAACATATATGTACATTGTTCTCAAAAAACGTGGAAGAATAATAAGCTTTTATTACTCCCTTCACAATAGCTGGTTTTCCACGATCGCTACTCTTCCGATGTTTTGTCTGAAAGAAGGCAAGATTCAGTGATTGTTTAAAACATTGTAATTTCATGTCACGACTGCCTTTTATACAAGTACTACCTAGAAAAGTATCAATGCTTGTTAATTTTCTCTGAAATTAATTAAGACTCAATAATACCTCACAGAACCTTCACTGGAGAAAATAACTTTACTTTATATATAAAAAACAGTAAATATGTTTGTTTTCCGAGATCTTGCAAACCTTGTGGAGCTTTTTTCAGATTGTTATAATTTGGATATTTTACGGTGCGCTCAAGCGCGCGTGTGTGTGTGTGCGTGTGTGTGCATACATGTTCATGTACTAATATATATTACCGTTTTAATGGAGACGGACGGATACCTTTTCAATTAAAACCAGTAACATTAATTTCGTTCAAGGATCCTCTGAGTAAAAGAGACAACCAGTGCATGTAAAATATACATTAACGGAAAGAACAATGTGTATTTTTTCCATTTCTCATTCAGGCTATTTATAAACATGGTGCGCAATTGTGTGTGCAAAAAATACAAGACATATCTGATAATTAGATGCAGAGATAAATATGCAAGGATATCACTTACATGAATACCAAAAATAATTGTAAACTTACTGTGAAAAAAAAACAGCTTTATATGTTTTAAGCATGTACCTAATGATTAGGGCCATGTTTTAAAACATATGATATAAGACTGGTCTGAATTTATCTTTTGGCATCATATGCTTGTTACATGGTCACATTTTTCCTGTATGATATATATTAAAATATGGAATCAAATAAGACCCATTACTCGCTATTGTTAAGTAATGTGATTGCCTTTATCACAGATCCCACGGGCCCGATGCCGCTTTCTTATGCCGGCGGGAACAACCATTCAAACAACTAACTATCCCCCAGCTACTGAGCATATCCCGGCAGATCTCGGCGGGGGCGGATTACCTGGCCTCACAGCGGTTTGTCCACAGGGACCTGGCCACCAGGAATTGTCTGGTAGGCGAGGGGATGGCGGTTAAGATTGGAGACTTTGGGATGTCTCGGGACCTCTACAGTACTGACTACTACATGGTGAGTTTGCGAGATATAAGGACGTTAGGAATAGCACAAGCGTTCCGATATCACAGGAACGAACACACACAAAAAATATGGGACGCAGCAAGAAATCGGACGCTGAAACTAGCATCATTAGTCACCGAGGGTCGAATCGACCATGGCAGACAGACAGACAGGCATTCCGATATACTCGTTCTTTAATATTGAGACGAAAGGTGGTCAAGACTGACAGAGAATGCACATTTTTGCAAATATTTCATTGGTGGTTCAAATTTTCAACATTTTGATACTCCGTATTACTCCTTTTGTTGAGATTAATAATAATAATAATAATCAATTTGAACAAATATTATTATATGTAAAATCTTCTCCATCCTGAACTCCATATTAAACATACACATCTTCCACACAAACTAAGCAAAATAATATTGGTTGTAAGAGATTTTCCCAATCAAGGCCACTTTTATTAGATACATATAACCCCCACTAATGAATTTTCTGGAAAAATAAATTTCACATACACAGCTGCTTCCTGGCATCCGGCTATTGAGTCAGAGCAGTTTTGTCAAGTGAATAATTTACGAATTAAAGCTAAGGTGAATGTGTAATTGTAGGCACGAACACCGACCATATTTCTCCAGTCCAGTGGCGGACTTAGAAGGGGGTCAGGGGGATCCCGACCTTCCCCCTTCGGTGTCTGAAAAATATATCATACCAATATTCCTCTCTTGAAATTAGAGTTTTGATTAGCTAAATCATAGCTCTAAACCGTCACTGTTTTCTCTCCACATTACCAAAAAATTTTCAGGGCACTTGAGCAGGCCCCAAACCCAAGACCACTATGGTTGGCTTTGCATCCGAGGCCTGTCGTTCTGGACCCCCCCCCCCTCCCCCTCAAATAATCCTGGATCCGCCCCTGCAATCAACTTGTGCAGTGTGACGATACACAGACGGTAACTACCCAGACGGTCTACATAGGTTTGGTACACAACAATACATAACTCAATCACTTCACAGCTCATTTATACTTGGCGTGGGTGGACTGGTTATTTGATAGTCTATTTTGTCGCCTACTCGTCGATTTTACCATTATTGTCTAACACGCAGTGCTCTGATCCGATTTGGTTCTGTTGTTGATTAGGGTAACCTCTGTGACATTAAAGACACTGATAAAACAATTGAAGGCATTTATTAGGGAATTTGTTTTTTTTTTCTTTTGGTTGTTTTCCAAGAATCCCTAAGATCGACTAGTCTCTAAAAGTACGAATTTGTGAATATGTAGGCCTAGGCATTGCGACATGTGGATAAGCGCCAAGGTATAAACATAAAGATCAAATAGAGTAAATAAAATAGGCACAGCGTTATGTTAGCTTACATGATGATGTCTCGGCTTGTTTATTTCAACTATAATGTGTATTTTCAGGTAGGAGGACAGGCCATGCTCCCTGTACGGTGGATGCCACCGGAAAGCGTGCTCTACCGGAAGTTTACAATAGAATCTGACGTGTGGAGTTTTGGCGTCGTTTTGTGGGAGGTGTTTACATGCGGCAGGCAGCCCTGGTATGAATTATCAAACCACGAGGTAGGCCTATGTATGTTTGTTTCTAAAATGTGTGTAGCAATACTGCAATGGCCTCGGTTTCATAAAAATAGACTTTACACGTGTCTATGGTTTCATAAAAATAGATTTTACACGTGTCTATTTTGCCAAATAAGATACTGACCTACAGTGATTGCAAACTAATAAAAAGAAGTGTTTTTCATTCGATAAGGCTGAGTGGATTGTACTATTTGAGGCAAAGTATTCCAAAATATCAACATGTATAATGAATGAATGGCAGAACGATCATGTTAATAACAGACAGTGAGATTAAAAACATTTCCTTACTGATTTCTTACTGATTGAACCTCGACATCAGTCTTGACATTTGACTAAAAACAGAATTTGCTTTACAAAGAATGATAGTTTCTTTATAAAGAATGCCAGGACTTCTTACTATGGGCAGTTGTAAATACGGTTGTTTGTTATTATTATTATTATTATTATTATTATTATTATTAATTCTCATAACCATACGGTCAAAGGTCATTTTTGTTTTGTTTTAAATAATGTCCCCAATACAAATCAATTCATGTTCCCCTTAGCTCTGATCTTTTCGGTAAACTGTGTGACCACTTCTGCAATGAATAAAAGCAGTATATGAAACAGTCAAATAATAGGCCTAAGTGTTCGAGATGATTATCTGCTACAGGGAATTCAATGTCAATCAGTTTTAATATTCAGCTCTTAGCAAACTTTCCTTTTTTTACTTTGCAGGTTATCTCTCATATTCAAAACGGGGATCTTTTAGATTCTCCGAAGAACTGCCCTGAAGAAGTGTACAAAATCATGTTAGGATGCTGGAAGATTGCACCGCAGGAGCGACTGACAATGAGGGAAATTTATGAACGACTTGTGTTATTGCATGAGACAGCACAGGAGATTGATACGTGTGCGTTTTTAGATATTTGAATACAACACGACACGTATTCCGAAAGGATATTATATCTGTTATTTCATCTACATGAAGTGATTGTGTCGTTGATATGTGCAGTATTACTTGACCATAAGTGGCTTTGATGGAATCTGACACTGATCACTTCATACTGAAATACATTTAATAACTCTTGGGTGGAAATCCATTATTTGGAAGAAGACCCAGATCTGGACAATCTCTTCGTAGCATGAAAATTGCTTGTAGAAATTGAATTGGGTAAACGCTTTCAACGACGATAGTTTAGATACAGCTGAGTTTCATGCTGAGAAAGTATTCCCACATTTTTTGATAAAACGAGACACATTTTAAATATATGCTTTCATCATATAAGTAACTGTTATATAGAGATGTACATACTTAAATACAAATGATATAAAAATCTTCAATGCCTGAGTAAATATTAACACATTGCAAGGATAGACATGTTTTACATCGTCATTGTGGAACGTCTTTACAGTATTGGTCATGTGGTCATCTACAAAGCAAAAGATGACTGACATAAGGTTACTAATAGTTTTAACTTTAACATTCAAAAGTGTAAAACACGTAATATCTGGTAATCAGTGACGCCGAGCTAATCAAAATGCAACATTCTAACTAAAATGACACTCATACGTGAACCAAAGCATGAATTTGTAAGATCTGTGAGCTGAAGATTAGCAGATGATTTTGTGCCTATATTAACTAAGAAATGGCAGTGAACGTTTAATTACAAAGCAAATCTAAATAATCCAACATGCTATCGTTTCAAACGAAAATTCCAATGGGATTTCACAACCTTTCTTATGTACACTAAGCTGCATTTGACCTTTGGAAAGATTGAAGATTTAGCTTAGAATAGGATTTTCCCGTTAGTTATTTTCTCTAAGCTTCGAATTTCTCCCAAACATTGCACTTTTTTATATACAGACACTTCCAGTATGTATATATTCTGATCGTTCTGTCTCTCCGTGTCGTCGGCGTTGCTGTCGCTGTCCGACACATGACGTTCGCCACATTACTGTCAAACCTTTTTTGTTACTTTAAATTTACTGAGTGGTTTTGTTCGGTAAAGAGGCAGTTGCTTTCGAAAATCAGCGTGATCGGTTTATATTTACGGTAATTATATTTATAATTATTTGAAATTTTCATTTTTCACACATTAGCATTTTCAGCAGCGTTCATATCCCGTGGAACTTAGTCGCGTGCTAGTTTTTCAATGTCCAAGTTACCTGTAGTACATGATGTTATAAAGCATTATTTAACAATGCATCAAAATTGGCCAAAACATCATTTTGTGCACTTTTTTTCTGCGTATAACCTGAGCATTTCACATCTTTACTGCTTTGTTTTCTGTATAGTGTCTGTATATTTGCAAGCTTTGCTGTCTAGTCTTCATCTTAAGTAACAATAAAAAGGTTTAGGCACTAAATTCCGACATGGAGCATTGCGATATCTTTCATGGATGTCCCAAAACCGGATAAAATAAGCTTTTCATTATCATTATTCCCCTATGTTCTATTTATCTCACGATACATCCCAGAAGAATCATAGAATCATATCAGGGCTTCTTCGTGAGCCCAATGGGATACCCTATAATATTGAAAATCATAATGCAACGGAGTAAAGTCCTCCGCCATGTATAAATGGTAGAACGAATTGTACATCTAAGGACTATATATGTTCTTTTACAATACTGAGAGCGACTGTTATTTAGAAACTAGAGATAAGATAACATTCCTATCACAACTCGAGTCTACCAACTGGTGCAGTCCATCATTGAATCCCGATAAACATCGGACGTCCCTTAACAAACTCACGCTTGCAATGTAAAGAAATGGAGTCGAATAATGTCATAGGCACGTAAACACGCACATGAAATATTACGTGCACGTACATGGATCTATATGTGATCATTTTAGTGTCCCACACGAAAAAAATTCTGTCAAAGTTTCACTCTCCTGGAATTATGGAGGATGAAAAATAATTCATCGTCTTAGCCCAAAAAAGGACTTTACGTTACTGTCAAAAATGGTGAATTTTTACCTGCAGAGGGTTTTACTCACTTTGAAAATTCGATCAGCACTGGTTTTGTTCTTTAATTGATTGCCTACAATACATGATAATCTTCTGTTATATAGAGCGATTGTTACAGGGTTACCACTTAATATGGAATATTATTTTTTGGCGAGTAAATTTTCTACAAAATATTTATTTTCTCTCTAACTACTTTACATCCAAATCTGAGGTGTCACTCCCTGAGTAGCCAGGTGTGTTACCTAATTACCATACAACTCTCGAAACAATTGATGCATACAGTTGCATTTTCTGTGGTCAGAAATGTGAGGGGTGGTCTTTTCGGCAATTTCTGCCCTTGTATAAAAACGCATGGGTTTGGTCAATCTTTGGAGTGTGTTTAGAGAAGCAACAAAGGGNTTATTTTGCGCGCTTTTAGTTTGTCACTGAATATTGTTTTGTATATAAGGAAAAAATGCTGCATGCTGATAGTAAAAGAGGCACTATTTTTTATTCGTGGTGCAAATATTATTTCAGAAGTATAAATTATACATAAAAGCACTGTAAATGTTTCAGTCGACAACAAAAAACATATACCTCCAATCAAACAACTCTGCACAATCAAAAACACAGCAACCTCCGGATAGCCAACCCCTTTTTCTATTAAGTGAATTAAATATGCACTTTTCGTGTTGAAAACCAGACAATTGAAACGTGACCTGCATGTTGCCTGCAGAAAGAACATTCTGCTCGGAAATAATTTGTCAGATATGTCGGCAAGGCAGAATGGTATTGATTTCTTACTGGAGGGTAATCAGAAGGTTATGGACAGTTTTGGCACCTCGGCGAATGTCTGATGATGACCTTTTGCTATTCATGAGCAATAATCAATGTCTAAATATTGTCAACTTCACAAACGGTACTCTATGAAATGACCAAATGTCTAAAACTCAATATTTGTCTAGAGAACGAATCTTAAGAGATCCAGACCATTAGAGTCTCCAATAACGCTATTATCAACATTTTGTGATCATTGACCTTATGGGAGTCAACATGAACCACGTAACTGTACCATTATTGAGTCCCAAATCCCAGAACTAGCCAAGCCAATTGTTCTGAGGCTTTGATGCTAACAATCGGTGTATCATGGAACCTTGATACATGTACTTTACATGTGACTGTTACTCGTTTTAATACTTAACCTTATCTCTGTTCCACAAGTCCTAACAATTCCTAAATCTTTCAATTCCTATCTCCACTTTTTAACAAGATACCAAATGAAGGGATTTGTACTTTACATGTGACTGTTACTTGTTTTAATACTTATTTAGATGTCTGTATCCTGCTGAGTAGCATTTATACTTGTCGTCTACATTGTATGAACTAGCCCTGAAAACATTCTGAAAAGGTCACACAACCATATTCATTAAACTTGGTTGTTTTGACATCCTTGATCGACTTTTCCCGTTTTACAAGTAAATAAGGCAGTTGTCATACACAAGACGGAAATAATATGCGGAAAATCAAACCCTGCTGCCACATTTCAAAAACCTCGGCCATTTTTTTTTTCACAAAAATGCATTATACAGTATATATACACACCATACACATGCATAGAGCGTGGCGTTTTATCAGCAAACATGTCTCAGAGGGTGTTCCCAGTTGAGCTGCGAGATACTAACTGCATTTTTAGTGGGGGAGGAGGGGTGAAGGTACAAAATTGAGTGAAGTACTTTTATTTAATTTTGAAGCGAACTACAGAGACCTCTGAGGGGGGAAATTTCTGATAACAATATCTCATTATACACCCATACAAAACATAGAGGAGCAAATAATGTCACAGGCAAGCTCTTAAAAATATATGGATTAAAAAAAACGTTTGATAATTTAAGGGTTTTACATGGCGAGTTACTATCAAGATGTCACTCTCCAGGAACCACGGAGAATAAAAAATAATTCATCGTCTGTCTCAAAAAATGGAACATACGTTACTGTCACAATTCGAAAACTTTCAGCTGCGGAAGCGTTTTACTTACTTTTAAATTTGATCAGCACTGGTTTTGTTCTTTGATTTATTGCCTGCAGGTATAACGTTGTACAGAGCCATTATAAAAAATGCAGCTAGCTGACAGTACAAAAAGCAATATCTTATATTATTAGTGCAGAAATTTTGTCAGAAATGTAAACCTAAAAATAAAAATACAAGAACAGAAACTCCTGTTGCCTGTTACGTTTTAGTTTTGACACAAAGCCCCTTAGGAAGTCCATTTGACTTGTGCCTTACCCAAATTAAGATGTCGGCAGGTGGACAGCAGATGATGGCTATAAATTGGCTGCAGTTGAAAGGAAGCATAGTCATAGGTGATTGCGTTGGTTGGCCACTTTGAATGTGCTATGCTATGTACTCACGATCCGAACAGTTTGATGCAGCAGCGGAACTCGGAACTTCTATCATCCGTATCATGGAGTGAGGGCGCTTTGAATCATCTGATTAACGCAAAAGACAGAGAAAACTTACCAGAGGTATTAACAGGCACAAAGGATAGGATTTAAAACGCATTCTTGGTGCATGGATTGCTTCTTGTTTAGCTTAAGCGTGGGTTTTGATTAAGTGCTTTTTCTAAAATTGTTATGTACAGCGTTTTGGTGAATGCAAGGAAAGGAAAATTATAGATTGGTAAATCGCGGGAAGGTGCCGTCGTTTACCTCGGAATAATTCGTTAAATATGAATTTTGGGGCAAAAATTATCTTATGTGTACCTTTAAGGGGCGGCTAATAAGGCCATGAAGAATATAAAGTCATGACACCATAGCATAAGCTCTAGAAATGCTAAGTAGAGGATGTATTGGCAATTTAAAAGCAAGCTCAACAAAAAAATTAACTAGATAACTTGAAGGATAGAGAAAATAAATGTAATACTTTCATTAAATTTCGAACAAGGCCACATAACCTTCGGATGGAAACTGATCGGCATAATAAGCTCAAATCCACCTCTGAACCTGATGGAAGATTATGAAAGTTGTATGATCACAGAGCAACAGAGGACGAGGTTCACTTTGTCACATTGTGTCTCCATATATGGGGAATTTAGATGTAATCTATGCCACATTGTAGGCAAATCAGATACATTGTT